AGCTAGGGCTGCGCGAACCGGTCGGCGTCGCGCTTCCAAGGCCGGCTTCCAACACCCCAGGGGCCGCCAGGTCGATGCCCCGCGGCCGCGAACTGACCGCCCTGCCGCACGCCAGGGCGCCGCTGGGGCGCGAAGAGCGCCGCGGGGCGGCGTGCCGCTCACCCTTCCAGGCTGCAGTAGCAGCCATCCACATGGCAGATGCCCCTGACGCCACCCTTGGGGCCGGGCGCGCCGCCACTGGCGACCCGTGAGCGGGCCTGCGGGGCCGGCGTGGCGCGGGCGAGGGGGCGGAGGTTTCAACCGAGCCAGGCGTCAGATCTGAGTCAGCGCGCACGCATGGGTCTGGAGCCAGGGGCACGCATGTATCAGGGCGCCTAGCGTCACGGGGCTGCGCCTGCAGAGGCTGGAGGGGACACGAAGGGGCGCGGCCGCTCACGTTTAAAGCAGACTGAGGAGCGCCCGCCTCGCCACCTGCGTCCTGGGACGCCAGGCTCGCGCCGCCGCTGCCGCCATCGGCCCCGCGGCCCCCTCCGTTGCCGCCGCCGCCGCAGCCGCCGCCATCGCCCCCGCCGTCGCTGCCGCCGCTGGCGCCGTCGCCGCTCCGCGGCGTCCTCACCCCAGCCGCCCCCGCGCCATGGTTGCCCGCTTGCCAGGAGCCCCAACCAGGGCGCTCGCCCGCGCGGCTGCTGGACCGGGGGTCCGAGGCGGCCTGCAGCTGCGGCGGCCGCTGCGGCGGCAGCTGTGGGGGCGGCGGCTGCGACTGATTACCCGGTGGACGGAGTGCCAGGGCAGCGGTCAATTGCTGCAGCACAGCGGGTGGGACGCCTGCGAACGCGCCGCCGCCCGCGTGCGCCGCGGCCGATACAAATGCCGCCAGCTGGGTGGGGTCAGGCGCTGCCGCCCTGCCGCTGCCGCTGCTGGCGCTGCCGCCACCACCGCCGCCGTCGCGGCGGGCGCCGTCGCTCTGCGGCGTCCAAACGTCTGCCGCAGCGGCGCCGTCGCCGGCCGCGTGCCGGGAGCCCCAGCCCGGGCGCTCGCCCGCGCGGCTGCTGGACCGGGGGTCTGATGCAGCCTGCTGCTGCTGCGGCGGCCGCTGCGACTGATCCACCGGAGGACGGAGTGCTAGGGCAGCAGTCAGGTGCTGCAGCACAGCAGGTGGGACGCTTGCGAACGCGCCGCCGCCCGCGGGCGACGCGGCCGACGCGAGCGCCGCCAGCTGGGCGGGGTCAGGCGCTGCCGCGGTGCCGCTGCCGCTGCTGCTGCCGCCGCCGCCGCCATCACTCCGCGGCGTCCAAGCGCCGGCCGCTGCGGCGCCGTCGCCCGCAGCGCTCCCGCGGCCCCAGCCGGAGTGCTCGCCCTCGTGGCTGCCTGAGCGCGGGTCCGACGCGGCCTGCTGCTGCTGCGGCGGCCGCCGCAGCGGCAGCTGCTGCGGCGGCTTCGGCGACGGCGGCTGCGGCTGCGGCGGCTTCGGCGACGGCGGCTGCGGCTGCGACTGATCCACCGGAGGACGGAGTGCTAGGGCAGCAGTCAGTTGTTGCAGCACAGCAGGTGCGACGCTTGCAAACGCGCCGCCGCCCGCGGACGCCGCGGCCGACGCGAGCGCCGCCACCTGGGCGGGGTCTAGCGAAGCCTCACCGCCGCCCATGCACTGCAGCAGCGCCGCGGTGAGCGCCTGGAGCTGCGGCGGCAGCCCCGGCAGGCGGCCCGCGGC